GGTCTCTGGCTGATCTGAGCAAACTGCCATTCCCAAGAGGGAGGAGCCTGAGGCTGGGGTGGGGGTAGGGTGTCACCTGTGTGCCCAGGCTGACATCTGGCCCTGGCTGTACTGTCCTCTGGCCCAGATGCTGAGCTGGGCCTGGGGGTACTTTCCCAGCCCCCCCAGGGCGGGAGTGAGCTCTGGGGAGGCTGCAAGCCTTGGGAAGCAGGGTCACCTCGCTCTGCGCGGAATCTGAGCAAACTGCCATTCCCAACAGGGAGGAGCCTGAGGCTGGGGTGGGGGTAGGGTGTCACCTGTGTGCCCAGGCTGACATCTGGCCCTGGCTGTACTGTCCTCTGGCCCAGATGCTGAGCTGGGCCTGGGGGTACTTTCCCAGACCCCCCAGGGCGGGAGTGAGCTCTGGGGAGGCTGCAAGCCTTGGGAAGCAGGGTCACCTCGCTCTGCGCGGAACGGGCCACTCAGCTCTGGGAACTCTTCATCCGAGGCTTTGTCCTCCTCATCCGAGTTCCAGCGCTCCGACACGGGCTGCCTGTCCAGGTCCATGAGCAGGGGCAGGGCTCCTGTCACCTGCTTCCTGCAGGGCAGCAGGCAGAGGCTAGGCTGGAGGGCACCCCTGCTTGTGGAGCCTGGGACACTGCGCACAGAGCACCAGCACCCACACCGGGTAGGATGGTGGCTCAGGAGCACGAAGTCCCCAGATTGCTAAGGGCTGGTTTTCTGTGGCGTGATGGGGGTGAAAGGGAAAAAGGGGCCGACTTGAGCTGGGGCGGGGGAGGAGAAGGGACCACGGGCCAGACTCTAGATGTGCAGGCTGAGAGGGGGCCCACATGGAGTTAGTAGGAGGAGCTCAGCTGTCACCCTTCTTTTCACCTTCAGTTGCCCTCACCTGTAGCCATCCTGGTTGGTGCAGCTGTTCCCAATCAGGTTGAGGATGAGAATGCTCTGGGGGAATTCATCTGCCCGAACCAAAGTGGGGGAATGAGGTTCTCATACCCACCTCCCAGCCCAAAGCCACTGCCTCTCTGCACAGCCCGACCCCTGGAGGGTGTGCAGTCAATGCAGGCACAGGGAGATGGGGCAGGGAGGAGGGAGGGCCCCGCATAGGACCTATTTCATCCCCGCACGGGACTTATTTCATGAGCCAGGATGAGGGCATCCTACCCAGCTCCAGTTTTGCTATCAAGTTCTCCGAAAGGTCCAGAAACTGGAGGTATGGGAGGTCACGGAGGTTCTCCACCTGCCGGATTCGGTTTCCTGCCAGAGACAGGAAGCTGCAGGGGGAGGGAGGGGTTCAGAGAAAGAGCTGAATTACAGAACAGCTGCAGGAGAGGAGAGGGCCTGAGGTGCTCCGGCCCCAGGCTAGGCAGCCGGACGACAAGTGGGGACACATGGCCTTTTGGGGTGAGGGAAACAGAGCCAGGCTTGCTGGGTCCTCGGCTGACAAGAAGCCAAGGCTTGGCGAGATCTGAGCCAGTTCTTTGGGGATGTTCCCAGGTTTCCTCCCCTTCACCCTCCCCCTTCTTTGTTCCCCACCCCACCCCCACCTGAGCCCTGGCACCCCATACCGTAAGGAGGGGACACAGGCCAGGTTCTCAATTCGCTGGATCTTATTCTGCAGGAAGAAACCAAGGTGGGGAACCAACCTGAGGTCAGCTGGGTGAGGGACCCTTTAAAGGGACACAACCCCAGGACCATGCTGACTCTTGCAACTGGAGATCTGGCAACTGGGAACGCTGATGACCCCGTCACTGAGCTGTCTGTCACAACCTTGGGATGACTTGCTTTCTCAAGGCGGACGGTTCAGGGTGTAAATTTGGGGCTGGCTAAAAGTGATTAGCGTATACCCTGCTCACCCCACAACCAAAGAGTGACCTGGAATCAGAGAAGGAAACCAGGGGGACTCGGGGAGATGGAGAGGGTCTTGGTGGGGGCTTGCATATATGCAGAGAGCAACGAACATATC